TCCCTGGGTTGGGAGGATCCCCTAGAGAAGGGAACAGCTACCCACTCCAGTATTCTGGCCTGGAGAATCCCATAGACAGAGGAGCCTGGCAGGCTACAGTGGATGGGGTTGCAAACAGTCAGACAGGACTGAGTGACTTTCACTTGCACTTTCTCTTGCCATACTCCAATCCCTCAAAATTCACATGTTGAATGACTAACCTCCAGTATTCAGAATGTGATCTTCTTTGGAATCGGGGTCATTGCAGATGTAATTAACTAAGATGAGGTCATAATGGAGTAGAGTGGTTCTCTAATCCAAAATGACTGATATCTTCATAAAAAGGTGAAATGTGGACACAAACACGCACAGAGGGAGAACATCATATCAAGACTGGAGTTTGTTGCCACAACCCAAGGAATCCTCAGTATTGCTGGCAAACCACCAGAAGTTAAGAGAAAGGCACGGAATAGACCCTTTTCTAGTGCTTTCAGAGCAAGTATGACCTGTCGATACCTTGATCTCAGATTTCTAGCCTCCACAACTGTGAGATAATAAACTTTTGTTATTTAAGCTACTCAGTTGTGGTACTTTGTTATAGCAGCCCTAGAAAATGAATAAAGTCTATTTTTATCCCAAGAATTCCACTGAACTTTTCACACTAAAGCTACCATTCTCACACTAGGTATCAGTAGGTATAGTATCAGTGATGTTTAACAACATGTGTCCTCAGTAAATGCCAAGGTTTCTCTGGAAGTACAGTCTTAGACTCCAGTATTTCCTGTGGCCAACTGAGTATAGCACTCAGGTATTAAGTGCTAGGCATTAAGAATACAAGCCACACACCAGTGAAGAATTATCAGTTCTTTTAAAATAGTTTCCTATAATGCACAACTTTTCTCTTCCAAAGAAGTATTTGAACCCAACATAGTAGCCAAGCTTCATTTGCCTGTTTTATGTTTAATCCCCTATGGGTTTCATACAGCTTAAAAGATGGCCAGATTCTAAGGATAGGATGTTTCCTTATATTTAGTAAAATGGCAGATATAGAGTAAAGGCTTAAACCTCCCAAAAAGAATTTGTGGAAATGTGGGGGGAAACTTCTATCAAAATAATTCATCCTTCAGTGTTGTTTCTTGAGTGAACAAGATTTTCAGCAAGGAGAAATAAACTTCAACCTACAGAGTAATATAGCTCCTTCTCTGTCTTGTTGGTACAAAACAATTCAGTCATGCTATATCACAAATATGGTTTATAGTTCTAGAGTAATTAATGGTATAGAGACCTGAAGTCTCTACTAATGACAGAACAACTATGTGTTCATACTGAACACCAAAATATAGGCAGTGATTTCTGGGACTGGCATCACAGTTCCCATTGTTACTAAACACAGGTCCAGCTACTCACCACTCAAAAGCCATTAAGGAAGCCAGGTTGGTGGAAAAGAAAGTTTGCTTTATTTTAGATGCCAGGAACCAGAGCAGGGAGGGTGGATGCCTGTCCAAAGGCTGAAACTCCTCCTTACCTCCCAACAATCATGGGGAAAGAGCTTTTATAGACAGAAGGAGGGGGTTACATGCCAGAACAGTACAGTCAGCTTTGACAGTCATCTTGAAATTGGTCATCAGTGGCCTGACCAATGTCATCTTGTTTTAGGTATAGTTAATCTTCAGTTTCGCAGTTGGTTTGTTCCCATTTCTTTGAAGTCAATTCTCAGAAATGTAGCCACTTATGTCAAGGCTACCCAGGTGGTAGTAAAGAATCCACCTGCAACGCAGGAGATTCCAGTTTGATACCTGGGTTGGGAAGATCCCCTGGAGAAGGAAATGGCAACCCACTCCAGTATTCTTGTTGGGAAACCCTGTGGAAAGAGGAGCCTGGAAGGCTACAGTCCATGGGGTCGCAAAGAGTCTTGACACGACTTAGCAACTAAACAATGTCAGAACTACAATCTATTCATCATGGAATTAACTTATTCCAGTTTCAGTATCTATAGAACAGCTCACAGGATACAGCTCAGAATACTATCTATGGCCCTTGAGAATGAAATAAAGGTGTTTGACTATACTTTATTATTTGGTCTCCTTTGATTGTTTTCCTTTGTTTCTGCATGTTCTCATTTCTCTGATTAAACTTATTCTTTGGCTAAAGTTTTTTCCACAGACAAAAGGCAGGCAGAAGATATGGTGGAGAAGGAATGTAGAGTCATCCTCCATTTCACCATGACATAAGTCCCATTGTTTGAACATCAATGGACCCACACGTTCACTTTTGTGTGTAGTGCCATTGTATCAGCCTGATTACTATTTCCCAGATGACTTAAGAGTCTGGTTTATTACAAATACCACCTCACTGCTTATTGTGGCACAAGTGCTAAGAGTTCAGATAATGGGGTTCTTTAAGAGGCTCAATATTTCCCTTCACAACCTCAAGAAACATTAAATCTAGAAGAAGCAATGCATGACTATGAAGCAATGAAGGGGAAGAAAATAGAGAAATTTCATAAATTCCATTTGGTCCCCCTCCTAGCATTTATGACATAGTTTTTGGAAAATGACACCAACCTATGTCTAAACTTGAGGTAATTATATCCCATATTTATTCTTTGGTCTCCTCTTAAAGCCTCCTGCACCCTAATCAATATTACTGAGGGGTTATATAACTCAAAATAACCAGAGGATATGTCTCTAACACTTAATATTTTTCTTACTCTTTAAAAAAAATCCATATTATCTTTAATCATTACAAACAGCCAAGAGAAACTTTTCCTGCACATAATCAATTACACTTTAAAAATAAAAATATTTAATCCCTATTGATTAAATGCCAAAGGCTACTGATTATATGATATAGATATTTTGCTCAGTAACCATTTCTACTTAATATGTTTCTACAATCTTTCTCATATTTAACAAGGCTGCCTTTATCTGATGTTTACATAACATATTGAATGCTTAGAAGTAAGTGTTAGTGCTCAGTCATGTCTGACTCTTTGAGATCCCATGGACTGTAGCCTGCCAGGCTCCTCTGTTCATGGAATTCTCCAAGCAAGAATACTGGAATGGGTTGCCATTTCCTCCTCCAGGGGATCTTCCTGACCCAGGGATTGACCTGGGTCTCCAGCATTGCAGGCAGATTCTTTACTGTCTGAGCCACCAGGGAAGCTCCAATTGAATGCTTAGTGCTCAGTTCAGTTCAGTTCAGTTGCTCAGTCATGTCCGACTCATGCGATCCCATGGACTGCAGCACACCGGACCTTCCTGTCCATCACCAACTCCGGCGTTTACTCAAACATGTCCATTGAGTCAGTGATGTCATCCAACCATCTCATCCTCTGTTGTCCCCTTCTCCTCCTGCCTTCAATCTTTTACAGCATCAGAGTCATTTCAAATGAGTGAGCACTTCACATCAAGTGGCCAAAGTATTGGAGTTTCAACTTCAGCATCTGTTCTTCCAATGAATATTCAGGACTGATTTCCTTTAGGATGGACTGATTGGATCTCCTTGTAGTTCAAGGGACTCTCAAGAGTCTTCTCCAACACCACAATTCAAAAGCATCAATTCCATGGCACTCAGCTTTTGTTATAGTCCAACTCTCACATCCATACATGACTACTGGAAAAACCAGAGCTTTGACTAAATGGACCTTTGTTGGCAAAGTAATGTCTCTGCTTTTTAATATGCTGTCTATATTGGTTATAACTTTCCTTTCAAGGAGTAAGCATCTTTTAATTTCATGGCTGCAGTCACCATCTGCAGTGATTTTGAAGCCCAAAAAAATAAAGTCTACCACTGTTTCCACTGTTTCCCCATCTATTTCCCATGAAGTGATGAAACCAGATGCCATGATCTTAGTTTCCTGAATGTTGAGCTTTAAGCCAACTTTTTCACTCTCCTCTTTCATTTTCATCAAGAGGTTCTTTAGTTCTTCTTCACTTTCTACCATAAAGGTAGTGTCATCTGCATATCCGAGGTTATTGATATTTCTCCTGGCAATCTTGATTCCAGCTTGTGCTTCCTCCAGCCTGGCATTAGCTATTTCTCCTTCTGATCTTCTGTTTTCAGTGTATAGAAATGCAACAGATTTCAGTGTATTAACTTTGTATGCTGCAACTTTACCAAATTCATTGATGCGGTCTAGTAGTTTTCTGGTAGCAGCTTTACGATTTTCTATGTAAAGTATCATGTCATCTGCAAATGGTGACAGTTTAACTTTTTTTCAAATTTGGATTCATTTTATTTATTTTTTCTTCTCTGATTGCCATAACTAGGACTTCCAAAACTATGTTGAATAAAAGTGGTGAGAGTGGACATCCTTTTCACCATTGAGTATGTCAGCAGTAGATTTGTCATATATGACCTTTATTATGTTGAAGTATATTCCCTCAGTGCCCTTTTTCTGAAGATATTTTATCATGAATGGGTGCTGAATTTTGTCAAAATCTTTTTCTGCATCTGTTGAAATGACCATATAGTTTCTGTTCTTCTGTTTGTTGATGTGGTATATCACACTAATTGATCTGCAAATACTGAAAAATGTTTGCATTCACAGGATTCATGGTGAATGATCCTTTTAATGTATTGTTGGATTCAAATTGCTAGTATTTTGTTGATAAGCTTTACATCTATGTTCATTAGTGATATTGGTCCATAATTTTCTTTTTCCTGGTATTTTTGTCTGGTTTTGGTATCAGGGTAAATAAACAGCTGGACATGACTGAGCAGGCACACACACATATATAATTAAGAAGAGGGGAGAATTGATATGCTGTTTTCAGTCACCAAATCAAGTCCAACTCTTCGCAACCTCATAGACTGAAGCATGCCAGGCTTCCCAGTCCCTCACAATCACCTACAGTTTTCCCAAGTTCATGTCCATTGAATTGGTGATGCCATCTGATTCAATGGGCAATCATAAGTTCCAGAGTTTCATCTTGAGAATGAACCAGTAAGGAATAAGAAAAATATCTATTTGTATCTCATTGGGGGATAATTGTGAATTTTATTGAGGATCAAAGTCATCATTTCTCATGGGGGGTAGACATATGAATTACAACATCAGCACATTCTCCTTCACCTGGACAGATGGTTAGAAAGCTTGACTCAGAGGACCAAAGTCTGAAAAGTGGTCTTAGGACACCATAGAATGTGTTCTGGGGAAAGGTGAAGATGTGGGATCCATCTGTCATATTATAGAAAGATACATCTCCAGCCTCATAATCCAGAAATACCCCCACAATAAAGGGTTTTTCTCTTAGAGTAAGATGGGTTTCTGGGGAGGTGAGGGCCCAATACTCCCCCTCATAGAACCTAATGGCCCAGAAACCATTCTGTGGGGACATTATAACCCTCCCCGTCCTTGTTATGTTATCCCTACAAACTCCCAGGTCCCAGGAACAGGGGTCCCCAAACTCTACTTCCCAGAAGTATCTCCCTGAGATGATGTGCAATTGACCCAGCACACAGGGGATGGAGGTGAATCTCTGTGGGGAGCTAGGAAGATCTTGACACCTTGCTTGCCAGGAAACTCGTCTCCCTTCTTCAGACAGGAGGAGGGCAGGATGAGCCGTTTCTGCATCCAGGGTAACATTTGCTGCAAAGACAAGTAGACCATCATGTTTCTGGGAAGAGTCTCAATAGGCCTGGGCCAGAGGGGTTCTCACTCTGTGAGGACTCCTCTGACCCTGGGTAGATTCAGCTCACTCCACCCAACATTCCTCCAGACTGTCCCACAAAGAGCAAGGTCCCTCATGGATTATTGCATACTCACCAGCTTTGAATTCTTCTTTCCTCCAATCTACAAGGAGCAAGTAAACATGAGAACCTACCATCTGAAAAACACAGCCGCCTATCTGTCCAAAATACTATGGAGTATAAACTCCCTAGGATTAATTCAAGAATAATAGCAACCAAAGAAAATATTTCTCTAAAATCTACTAAATCATGTCTTACTTGAGAACTGACCCATTCTTATGCCTTCTCAGTCCACATTTCTTCAGGACAAATACCCAAAGTCTATTCAGGATGTTTGAGAGGGATACAGTCTGTCTAATCAAATAACTTATTTTTCACATTGTTTCCTCAGATTTTAGCTGATGAAATATGCTCAAAACACAATATAAGATGTAATTAAGAACAAAAAATCTGCTAAAATTTTGTGTCTCAAACATATTACTATCTATTAAAATACTGAATAATCCATAGAGTTCATATTATATATGCTTTGGAGTTTATTTGATCTTCAGTATATTGTTTTACACAGTATATGTTCATTTAAAAATCTTTCATAATACATTTTTCTTCAGCAGAGTCCATGTAACTTACCAGGATATAATGGTGCATTCCTCCAGGCTGCCAAAGAACAAAATAGGAAACCCTTTACTTTTTTTTCCTACCCTGCTTTCTCTTACTATCTTTTCCATTTTCCCTTGCCTTTATCTAATTTTTTCTTTTGAATCCCTTGTTCTTATTTCCATCCTGTGTTATCTTCATAGTCTATTTTTCCAAACATGATAAAAAAGGTGGTCAGGTGTGTAGGAAGAGTAGAAACACAGAAGCAACAAAAGATGGGAGGGAAGGTGGATAAGTGTAAGAGGAAGATTAAAGACAAGAAGGAAGGAAGGAGGAAAAGAGGATAAGCATGCTAAATTGCTGGTTTACTTCTCAAAGACAATTGCAGAAATTTAGGAGAAGATAATGTTAGAAATGCTTCTTCACCAACTACAGACATTCTGATTTTATTCTCTCATACTATCCTACTGCATTAGAAGCAGGACCCAAGATAGACACAAGAGTGGAGCTTTCTGAGAGATAAGCTTTACTCACCATGCTTGAATTGAGCCTTCCTTCTATCTGAGAGAGAATTCACAAACACACATAACATTTCTTAACATCATAAGGAAAATGCAGTTAAAGCCACATGCCTGCCAATTTTTGTATCTGCATATTGATCAAGAAATGCTCACTTCAAAAATAATTACAGAAATCTCTAAAGTTCATTCCATATGAAACATTTAGTAGATTATGAAGAATACAACATCATATGCAGAATATGAGGATATAAATAATTCTTATAATATGATACTAAATAATGCAGATATATTCCCTGGTGGCTCAAGCAGTAAAGAATCTGCCTGCAATGGAGGAGATCCAATTTGATCCCTGGGTCAGGAAGATCCTCTGGAGAAGGAAATGGCTACCCACTCAAGTAGTCCTGCCAGGTAAATCCCATGGACATAGGAGCCTGGTGGGCTACAGTTTATGGGGTTGCAAAGAGTCAGACATGACTGAGTGACTAACACTTTTCACTTTCTTACCTCATAAAATAGTTTTAGACTTTAAAAATACAGGTTCAATGATTTTACTTGAGTCAAAATTGCAATACAAAAGACCCTGAGGGATGAGCAATTTGTTGGATAATTGAATTAATTAAATACAAAAAAAAGAGTAATAGCTATGATTGGGAACAAAGATAACAAGGCAAAATCAAAAAAAAATTTATACACCTTGGTCATTGAGAATATGACCAAGAGAAGTGCTCAAGCAAGTCTCATGGTTACCTACGATATCAGTAAAGAAGAAAATACGTCAGAGTCCATCAGAAGGAACTCATCTCACTTAACCAAGCTTAGAGTCTGAACACTTCCCCTAAGAACTGGTACAATATCACAAATAAAACAACGGGCACTCCATCTCAAAGGACAAGTTGAAGACCCCAAGTTAAAGAAAGCCTTCTATTTAATGGAAAAACCACATTCTTCTAAGCCTAATCCCATTCATGTCAGTAACCTTATGATGAAATTATGGTAATCATCTGAAATAGAAGTCTAAGACTATATCAGGATAAGAAATGAAAACACTCATATCATGTTTTTAGGAATTACACCATGAAAAAAAAAATCAGAAAAAGTTACCAATTTCACTCTGAAGTATGCCTGAAAAGTAAAATGGAGAAAACTCAAGTAAATATCAAGGAAAAACAATACAGAACATTAAAATGAGCTGAAAATTTCCACGTCACAGAAAATTGAGGCAATGAAAGTTCTCAGGGGACCTTATAATGAAATTATGGTAATCATCTGAAGATAGAAGCCTAAGAATATATTAGGGGAAGGAAGGGAAACACACAAATCATGTTTCTAGGCATTACATCAAGGAAAAAAAAAATCAGAAAAAACATTTACCAATTTCATTCCGAAGGATGCCTGAGAAGTAAAATGGAAAAAACTGAAGTAAATATCAAGAAAGACAACACAGAACATGAAAATGAGCTGAAATTTTCCAGTTCATAGAAAACTGAGGTGATGAATGTTCTCAAGGGGAGAAAATGAACAAAACTAAGTGAAAATGGAAAAACAGCAAGAAATCACATTTCTAACTTAAAAAGTGAAAAAATTAATGAATTTCACATTTGACTGAATAAAAGACATATGGAGAAGATATGGACAGAAAATAACTAGGATTTTATCCTGTACATATTTATTTTATGCATAGTTAAAAGAATATAAGTAATTCAAAGTTTAGATCAAAATATATACTTAAAATAATCTTATAAGACATATTATCTTGGTAGTAGTGTACTGCACAGATTTTTTTAATTTTGATATTTTTTCTGACTAGGGAAACAAAAATGAACAGAATCAAAATGGAAGAATCCCAACACCAAAATATCAGAGTGGAACTAATAGACATGCAGGAGAAAGGCCTGCCAGTACAAGGCACACAGACAAAAAGCAAGGCAGCGTTAAATGTTGAACAAGTCATTTTAAAGGGGATCAAGAGTAACAGGATATCATAAATTTTACCTAGTTCTTTCTTCAGTTCTTCTGATAAAAAAAAAGCAGAAAAATACATTAATGTCATGAGAAAGAACTACAAAGAGAAATAAAATTTACTGAAATTTTCATATTTAAAATTAACCCCATCCAGTTTCAGATGAACATACACAAATTAACACAGAGGTCAGTGTTTTCCAGAGATATTCTACAGTAAGTGTAAAAAGAAGGAAATTAAGTTAATTAATTGATAGAATTGTTAGATAAATTAGTTCTGGTAGCTAATTTGTAAAAACTATGCTTTATTCCTTTGACAATATATAGGTTCCAACTGTCCTGTTTGATACCCTGGCAGAGTGCATGGCAACCCACTCCAGTATTCCTGCCTGGAGAATCCCACAGACAGAGCAGCTTGGCGGGTTACAGCCCATAAGGTCACAAAGAGTTGGACATGACTGAGCAACTTAGTACCCATATCCTGTTTGTTAGCTTTAGTATGGGCATTGGCTGCTTTTACAAATATCAGTAAATTCTCATCACTGCAGTAGCTATTGTGTGTAAAGTTGGCACAAACACTGCATAAGGGAATACTGAAACACTATTGGTATAGGTCATGGGCTTCTGAGGTGGCACTAGAGGTAAAGAACCCACCCACCAGTCCAAGAGACATAAGAGAGGCAGGTTCAATCCCAGGGTCAAGAGGCTCCCCTGAAGGAGGGCATGGCAACTCCAGTATTCTTGCCTAGAGAATGCCATGAACAGAGGAGCCTGGCAGGCTACAGTCCATAGGGCTGCACAGAGTCAGACACAACTGAAGCAACTTAGCATGAACACACGTTGGTATAGTTCATAACACTGTCAGGTTTCTGGGTGCCTATTTACACACCATTACTGCAGATGGTGACTGCAGCCATGAAATTAAAACATGCTTGCTCCTTGGAAGGAAAGTTATGACCAACCTAGATAGCATATTAAAAAGCAGAGACTACTTTGCCAACAAAGGTCCGTCTGGTCAAGGCCATGGTTTTTCCAGTGGTCATGTATGGATGTGAGAGTTGGACTGTGAAGAAAGCTGAGGGCTGAAAAACTGATGCTTTTGAACTGTGGTGTTGGAGAAGATTTGAGAATCCTGTAGACTGCAAGATCCAACCAATCCATCCTAAAGGAGATCAGTCCTGGGTGTTCATTGGAAGGACTGTTGCTGAAGCTGAAACTCCAATACTTTGGCCACCTCATGCGAAGAGTTGACTCATTGAAAAAGACCCTGATGCTGGGAGGGATTGGGGGCAGAAGGAGAAGGGGACGACAGAGGATGAGATGGCTGGATGGCATCACCGACTCGATGGACATGGGTTTGAGTAAACTCCGGGAGTTGGTGATGGACAGGGAGGCCTGGCGTGCTGCAATTCATGGGGTTGCAAAGAGTCAGACACGACTGAGCGACTGAACTGACCTGAACTGATTGCCACCATTCATTCAAAATCTTCTTGTATTTGAGTTTATGTTTTAACTCATGCATAAATGAAACTTATCCTTACCAAATCACATGGGTGCTGAATCCATGAGAGAGAAAGAAAGAGGTTTTCTAAGATAAATTCTGTTTCTCAACAACCACGCTTTTATTGTTCCTCCTCCTCTTCGAGAGAAAACATCTAAAAACACACACATGAGACAGGTTTTCTAAACATTATAAAGAAGATGCAACTAAAGCTATACATCACCTAGTGATTATTTCTGAAATATTTTCAAGTCATGTCCATTCCATAATTAAAGAGGTAGATCTCTACAACCCATTCCATTGAAAACATCACTATAATTTGAAGAGCACCAACCAAGTGTGATATACAGGAACATAAAATTTTAAATAATTCTTGTACTAAGCTTGTAAAAAGAAGTGCACAATCATCTCAGCACACTCTTAGACTTCAGGGATATATTATCGATGAGATATGCTCAGTGAAACAAGTATGTATAAAGATTCAAAAGGAAAAGCAACATGGTGAATTAATAATCAAAAATGAAAGAAAATGAAAATGAGGCAGGATTTATAACTATAA